TGGTGATGTCCATTGACCATCATTAGTGGTTGGGGGGGTGTCATCAAGGCCTTGCCGGGTGTGGCCACGTGGCTTCTCTTACTGAGTTTAGATGATGCCACGCCAGCATCACCTCAGAGTTTTTCTATATTTTTTGTACCTTTTCTAGTAGTTAATTGGCTCTCACACTTGCATTAAAAACTGCAATTTGGAAAACTGAGTGCATTATTATGGCTCGAAAAGATATCATCGCAAGTATAAAACAAACAAATTCAACCATCACCATCCTTGGCAATCGGTGACACGTGTTTCAAACAGCAAAGGACGTTGTTATAGATGACTCCCTTTGCGTACGTGGAACAATTTTCGTTTCTTATAGAGACCAAGTGCATCTCTCTGTCCAGGTTTAAATTATAAATTATTTATGTCGAAATTAAAAATTTATGAGACTTCTACTATATATATATATATATATAATCGGAGATTTGATCAAGAAGAAAGAACCTCTCTCATGCTTTTTCAATTTTATACATGCTATTTTTTTATACCAATACTTGAGATATTCGTATAAAAACATAAACACAGGCAAAATCAGGAAAGTAGGCATGAATTATTTAGGTGATGGTTAAATGATAAGGACCTGGAATGAAAAGATTTACTTCCTTTATAGTTTTAGGTTCGAATTCTTAATTATTTATATGATAACTATTAAAAATTTACATAATAATTTCAATACTTATAAAATTAGTTATAGTATATGAAAGTTAGTCGGATACTATGTTAATTTAGAAAAAAGAAAGGAGGCATGAAATGAACTCTCCCTACTGCCTATGATCATGATGGGAACCACAGCCAATGCCCTTGAAACCTATGTGATGAGCTATAAAGTGCCCACTATAAAAGCAAGATATTGAAGGATCTAAGTGACACTGAGGCTAATTCTACAAGATCAGCTTGGCTAGGTAGATTGGCATGCCAATCATGGCAGAATCATGACCATGAATCCACTAAAAAAAGACCATAAGCTCTGACTGAGTGGCTATCCTGTTGATTAATTTATGACTGATGACTATGACTCAGCTGTCGCACTTTGGAAAAATAGCCTTTATCTAGCTACTTGTCTTAATGGTAAAATGCAAGGAAAGAAAAAATGCTCAGGGAAACTACATGATGCCATGTGCTTCTTCTAGCTGTCACTGGCAATCTCGAGCTTTTAAATGGGTTCTAGGATCTCTCCCCCATGAAAGATTATAAGGAAAAATGCAAAGATTCTTGCATTAACAGCAACAGAGGCAACCTCGTCATCTCACATGAAAGGCTTACTAAGAGCTTACCATAATAAATATTCTATTGTGGATAGACTATAGAGTGATCTTATATGGTAACTCGAGGGCAAGATGCAAACAAGATTTGCCAATTTGCCTATCTCTGACAGGCCAATTATGTGTTTCTTACATGCATGGTTTGCTGATAAGATCCCATCATCAGCTATAGCTATTGCAGGAAACATAGTACACAGTTAGTTTTCGTCTTCATCTCAATTGCTTAAAATGGTTAAATCAATCGAATGTCACCGAATTATAAAACTTCAAGGGGGAGAGAGGCAATCAAGAGATAAGAAGTTAGGCACTGACAGAAAACGGGGGATTCTGGTGATGACTTTCCTGGATTCCAAACCTGCGTTCACAAAGAAGAGATGGAATACAGGGGGCGCTTAAACCGGTTACAAAGGAGAGCTCCTTTTCCACTGCAGATTAAGCCTCATAATAATGCTTTTCTTGCATCTTCAGCGTCAGCACCGACTTCTTCATTTAATCCAAACATTACTTTATATTTAATTTTATTAGTTAAATTGGAGGTGGTGACTGGTGAGTTTTAAAATCATGATTATTAGGTAAAATCACAAGAATGATTTTATACTATTTTCTAGCACAGTAAAATTAATCCTATTCTTCTTCTTTCTGCTCTCGTTTTGCCTATACATTCAACGAGGAAAACCTGCGAAAACTCATTGAATTCTTATAACACCTCTCTCTCTACACACACACACGTATCTCTTGTCCATGTGATTAATTTCCTTAATGGACAGATTATTTGTTATACATACTCAATGCCCTTCCTTCTTGAGGGACAGATAATTAGGAATTTACTTATTCCTTTTGCTCTTTTCCTAACATAACTGCATAGCTAGCTAGTCACAATAAAACGAGCAATCGGATTTTCAGCAGGTCATATTCACTAAGCAATTATGCAGGGCATCAAATTAGGTTATACGTCCAATTAATGCAGTATTTTGTTTTCCATACTTTCAGTGGAAACTACAGGCCACTCCAATACTGTCCAAAAATCATTCTAAGGTTCAATCTAGCTTTCTTTTGGATATCAAGAGCATGGCCACCATGCACCACCTGTCTTTCTTTCTCTCCTCGTTGTTTTTTTTCCAGGTACATGAACACGAGATGAGGAAAACACGTGCAATACGTTATAATATTCGATTACTTTTTTTATGCATCAAGGGTTTTATTCATTAAGAAAGCAACACAAGGAAGGCTTATGGCCTCCTACAGGGCCAGGAAAAGACCAAGAGATTAAACAAAGTTAAAAAGAAATAATTAACACAAACATTCAACACATTTATATCTGTTCGATGTGGGAGAAATGCTTCCCAGTGGTTTCTCTCTATTTGTTTCTTTAGAAGATCTGAACATACAAGTGAAAAATCACACGTGCACATATGGGTCACGAGCAATTTACTACCTCGCTTCCCGGAAATTCTCACATTGACAAATGACAAGCTAAGATCTGGAGCATCTTGTCGCCATTTGATTCGTGTTTTTCTAGGAATCTGAGGTGCGGGAATATTCGAGATGAGCCTCAATTTTAGTTAGTTACTCATTCTCATTTAGATCCTAAAACAAAACAATAAAATTTATTAATTTCATCCCAAATGTTCAAGACAATTATTGATCAGGTTTTTATTTTAAAAAAAAAATATAAATTATATATTAAAAACTTACCTAACCATTTAAGCTATTTAATTAAAATGATTTATTAATATTATATTAAAATCATAATAATAAAAGAATTATGAATTCAAATCTCATCATCTACATTAATTTAATAAAAATTAAATATAAAATAATATAAATCTGTATAAATTTCAAATTTAAAAAACTTTCGCTCGAGAGAAAGCACTAAAAAATAATATAAATCATATATTAAGACATCTAAAAGTTTAAATTATTAAATTTAGATAGTTCTTTGATATTAATAATGTTAATAAGTTTTTTTGTTAGTTTTAATTAAATTAAAAAATAACTTTTTTATTTCTTTTATGTGCATGTTAAACAGAAATTATGGGATAATCACACTATTAATAGACCAACTTTACACCTTTTCTCAATTAAGTACATGAGTTTTATTTTTCTTGGTTAACTTTTTTCTAAACATTTCAACAAGTAATTCCATCCACCTTCCGTCAATTTTGCCATTAAATAATGACGCGCCATTTGTTTTTATTAAATCACAATTGATATTCTAACTTTCATTTTATGTCAATCAAGCACATGAACTTTAATCCTTTTTATTTTGATACACCTATATTTTTTATTGTTCTAATAAAGTAATTTAGTAAATTTTTTATTTTTTAATAAAAACATCCTCTAAAATAATATTAATTTTAATAAATTAAAATATTTAAAATTAGATTAAATATTTATAATAAATTAAAACAAATCCTATTTAGATGTAAGCTCTTTTCATTGATGATAAGTCATCTATATAAAGACTGAAAGACATTTTATACTTACTTAAAACTACAAATACATTACTGATACAACTAAAATGTTTATTATTTTAAGCAAATAAAGGAATATCATGTGATTGCAACATAAATAGAAAGCTAATTGGTTATTTTTTTAAAAAAAAATTACTTGATTAAAATAATAAGAAACTTTGGTGTATCAAGAAAAAAAGTTCATGTACTTGATTGGCATAGAATGAAAGCTGGAATATCAATACCAATTTGAAGGCAAATAACATGCCATCAAATAGAAGAAAAATTGAAAAAGATGGATGGAAGTGCTTGATTGAAGTTTTTTTAAGAAATAATGCACTCAAACAAAAAATTAAAGTTCCCATGCTCGATTGCGAAAAGGTGTAAATCTGGTATATTAATAGTACAATTATCTAAAAAAATATTGACACAACAAACTTAAAAGAAAAATGTGGGAAATATGGGAGATATTTAGATGCTAATCTACGTAATTTAATTGTTTGGTACATAGGTGAGAACAATTATATAGATTAGGGACTATGTTGAGGTTTTCTCAATATTCAAGGTTTACTTTAGCTCATAGCTTCATTACCCACCCGGTATTTTGACTGGAATTCTAGTAAGATATTTAGAGACCCTTTTTGCACCTCATTCCACAAGATTTTATTTTTTCATTTAAATTTAATATTTTTATATTTTCAGATTATTTTTATATATTTATGTTAAAAATAATTTTTAAAAAATAAAAAATAATTTTAATTTAATTTTAAATAAAAAATATTTTAAAAAACAATAAACCATTAAGTTGTTTCAAAATACTGACAATTTTTTTTAAAAAAAATTAGATACCAACAACTTATTAAAAATAAAAAAATATTTCAGAAGAGCACAATTGTAAACTTAATTTGTGATTTAGTTTGGGACTTTAGATTTGAGTTTGAATATTTACTTTTTAAAGAGATAATAAATTAAAAAAAATTAGATACCAACAACTTATTAAAAATAAAAAAATATTTCAGAAGAGCACAATTGTAAACTTAATTTGTGATTTAGTTTGGGACTTTAGATTTGAGTTTGAATATTTATTTTTTAAAGAGATAATAAATTTATTTGCTATTGTATTTTTTTAGTTTTCGATTTATGGTTAATATGCATCGGTAATTGCAAATACAGGGACTTTGGAGGAGCCGTGAACAATTTCTGATTGTGTCGTGGGTAGATAAAAACCCCGTGTTCTGTTATGGTTGTTTACCGTAGAAATCCATGTCCCATCGTACCTTTGACATGAAAGAAAAAAAATATTTTTTTTTAAATATTCGATCCCGTTAAAATGCACTATGACCTCCCCACGAAAACAAAGCAAAGAGTATCGTGCTTGGTAAGTTGAATCGAAGATCTAGCAAAAAACAAAAAAAGAACCTGAAAAAAATTGAAATTCTCTTTTTCGCACCAAAGTTTTCGAAATTGGGAACTCGCATTTACCTCTACTACACCAGAATTAAAAAAATAAATAAATCACTCTCTAGCATGGCGTGTTGATTCGGTTTTTAGGAAATAGAGGAAGATTTCCCGTGAATGGTAAGTTCGTATATGAATTGTTATTGAAGTTTTAATTAATTTTGAATTTCTTATGGGTTTATTAATGGAATTGTGATATGGATTATGTCTGATTAGGGTTTTTTTTCTATTCTTTTTTGGCCGTTTGCTCAGTGAGTTTGATTCATTTAGGGTCTGATACTGCTGTATTTTGTTGGTTATTTGATTTTAGGGTTTTTGATTTAGGACATGAATTAGAAAGACCACATAAGTTTTTCTGGCTATAATTAAAGATGCATACCTTTTTGATTGCAGAGCAGTGGATTAAATGAAAGGGAAGGGAGTATCGAGAGATTATTCTCGACGTAGAATTCGATCTGGAAAGAGAACGACAAGGAGTCTTGATAATATAGTTGTGATTGATGTCGATAGTGATGATGAGTTTGATAATGTTATTATCATTGATGTCCCGGAGTCTTTACAGCATAAATTAAGAGGTTCTAATGTTGTTAGAGAAGGAAGAAGTTTTCCGTGCATAATAAGCATCGATGATGATGATACAGTGGATGATCATGAAATTAATGCGCAAGGTGATGGTAACTTGGATAGTGATGGCACTTCTAGTCACAGCAGTCCTGCCTCTGATTGTATAGGGAAATCTGTTTATAGGGATGCTGATGGTTGTCGAGTTGCTGAGGAGAATAGGCCTGTGTTCAAGTTGAGAAAGTGCAATAGAACTTATCCTGAGAAAGCTCCCTCCAGAAATCGTTATGGTTTAGATTCAGATTCCGAGAGTGATTCGTCTGAAGATAGCACCTCTGACTGTGAAGTCATGGAAGGATCTTTTGGAGAGGTTCGAGAACAGTGGGAAAAGGCTTCCCTGAAGAGAAAATCCAAGTCGTGTAAAGGTCTGAATGACCAGGCTAGTCCATGCAGTTCCCACGGTGATGTTCATCCAAATGCTGAAGTAGAAAACAGAACTAAACAAAATCCAGATCCTTCTGTTTGCTCTAGTTCAAAAAATGTAAATTTTGAGAAAGTGAACACTTTTGCCTCCACTTCCACTAGAGATGGAGTTCTGGGTGGTTGTTCTTCCAGTGCCAAGATGGAAAATCCTTTTGCAAATTATAACCAGAAAGGTGAAAGCTTTTCAAGGCCACAGAAATCAAGAACAAATGAGAATATTCATTTTCATTGGAAGAGCGATGATCTTTGTGGAGGAGAGAGATTCATGGATGATAGTAGTACTTCCTATAACAAATTTCAAACTTTAAATGGCCTTGGCACTAGGTTTCCTCCAGGGCCTTCTTCACGGTCCAATCAAGAAAAGGATGATAAACAGTATCATCATAGAAGAGCATGTTTTCAGGATATGGAACAAAACACTGCGACAGGGCATTCTTTTCCAAATGACCAAAGTGGACCTAACTTGCACTCAGATGATGGGAAAGCTAGTGTTTTGAATGAAGATGCTTCTTTACCTGATGGTCACTTTCTCGGTGAGGAACATGATGTTATTAACATTCAAGTTGATTCAAAGGAGGAATATAAAGAATTTACTCAGGTGCCATCTAGTTGCAAGATTCTTTCAAATGAGGCACAATGCAGAGAGAAGTTTGTGCCTTATGCTCGATCATCTGAGGACAAAGTGGTTGAAAATGTTATAGCTCCTTCATGTACTGCACAAGAAGTCAGTGATGAGAAATCTGGTCATCAGAAAATGGTTGAAAGAGCTGCCAGAGAAAAGTCTTCACAATGTCACAACGGACTAGGTAGGCCAGGAACATCAAATTCTACAGAAGGAAAGGAGGCGTGTACTGATTTTGCATCCAGCAGTCAACTTCATTATGAAAGGAATCCGTTATGTGCTTTACCTGGTGCTTGTTTTCCTTCTGCTGTAAAGGATATAATCAATGACCGAGAAAAGCTCAAGGAGACTGAAGAATACAAACAAGCAATGGAAGAAGAATGGGCTGCTAGACAGCAGCAGCTACAGATTCAGGTTTATTCATATATTAGTTCCTTGATTTGCCGCCGAGCATTGTGTTGTACTACCGAAACATAATTCTAATATTTAATTACTCACAGGTGTAAGATTGAGGCTGGACTTACCACAAATACAAATATTCCATTGCATTTATATGTTATTTTAATGCACTTTCGGGTGTTGTTTATGCAAGTGGAATTGCTGTTGAGTAAAAAATCAGGTTCTTTTGAAGCTGGTTTCTGTCCCCCCCCACCACAACATGCCCGCGTGCGTGCGTGTATATATATATAAGGGTACACACACAAAACCCATGGTTTTGAAATCTCTAGCCACTATAAGCCTTGTTTTTGGTGCACCTTCAATGCCATATGGAGCCCTTCTAGTTTTTCATTGGAAGACATTCAAGTTGATTTTTGGTATAAAAAATATACATATGATGTCAATTGACTTTAGAATGCTTTTAAGTAAATGAATATTTCATCTGATTTGCAATTTGCATGTTCCTTTTCAGGCAGAAGAGGCTCAGAGATTGCGGAAGAGAAGAAAAGCTGAAACTTTGCGTATTTTGGACATGGAGAGAAGGAAAAAACAGCGTGTGGAAGAAATGAGAGAGACACAAAAGAAGGTTTGATTCCATATATTCATCACTTGCATTTATCTCTTCAGCATTACTCATTTTGAAACCAGCTTTGGTAAATCCATGTGTCTGTCATCTGATGGTGAATATAGGACGAGGAGAATTTGAACATCAAGGAGAGATTTCGTGTTGAAGTAAGGAAGGAGCTTTATAGATTGGAGGTTACCTGCATTGACATGGCATCCTTACTTCGTGGCTTGGGAATCCATGTGGAAGGTGGTTTCCAACCCTTGCCAAATCAGGTAAGTTACATTCTCTTTCACTCTGATTATACCACCTGAATTCTGAATCATATCAATGCACATGATACAAGTGAAGTCTCTGTAACTTGTTGAGTTGATCCATGTTTCTGATGGTCCTGGCAGCCACCAATTTTGCTTTTACTGAAGATTGTAATTCAGAAACCTTGACTGATGGCTTTACATTTTGAGATTTGCATATTACCTTAAACTAATTGACCTATCATAATCTTCTGGCTATGCTTTATATTTTTTATACTGCAACCCATGTGTGTTCAATTTCATTCATGTCAGACAGCCTTAGAGAAGTTGCCAGAAAATACACTATATATTGTTTGATTCTGTGCATGTCTATGTTATAATCTTTTTTAATAGTGATTAGTGGTCATTTCAGGTGCATGCAGCTTATAAGCGAGCCTTGCTAAAATTACATCCTGACCGTGCATCAAAAACTGACATTCGTCAGCAGGTTGAGGCTGAGGAAAAATTTAAGCTTATTTCTCGCATGAAGGAGAAATTTTTGTCCACTTCATGTTACTAGTGCTAATAAAAGGTCAAAACACCATTTAAGGTCAAAATACCATTTAAAGAATTCTGCACATTCATAATTGTGAAGCAGTTATAACATTACTCGATTAGAGAAATTATTGTCTTAAAGGTGTTGTTTACACTTGCGGGTCTGTCAAGAATAGGGTTTGTAGCACTTTGTCATATATTTTGAGGAAATTACATGTCTGATACCCGGTATTAGCAATACTGTCTCTTGCAGTTAGCATAGTTGAATATTCATTGATACTGACTGAGTGAGATGTCGGCTAATGATTTAAAAAAAACGCAACTGCTGCTCTGCTTCAGCAGCTATTTTACATGTAAAGCTTGGTGCATATATGTCAATAAGATTGCCCTGGTGTTACATTTGATGTGATTCCAAACGGGCCCAAACGTTTGAACTTTTGAAAGTGATGCCACCGGGATTGAGGTAGGTCTTTGCTTGATGTTTTATAAAGTAAAAGATCAGCTTGTTAATCCAGATATTTGTTTATGTTAATTGGTGTGAAAATATTGTACTTGCTGTAGCTGAAGGGGATTTGTAATGCTGTGCATTGAAATTAAACAAAATGTCGGAAGTTGCCATCAAGTATAATAATCATAGTAAATTTATGTATTGTTATCTTGAAAAAATCGGGATTCGCACATTCAGAATCCATGTATTGGTAATTTGATAGGAATGCCGAAACATTGGAATAATTGTCCCAGATTTAAACTTTCATATAGTTTATAGTAGCTAGTTGATTCAGGTTCTGTTAACTCTTTTCAAGGCTTCTCATTGTTACTTTTAACAGTTTTTGCTAATTAGGTCCGAAGCAGCAAAACGCGAGGATGATCTTCACCGAGTGTATTCGGTGAAACTGGGTGTATGCTTCATAAATATATAGTTCGGCTCAAATTTCCTGGCTGCAACAATAAGTGAAAATGGGTGTCTAACCCGTTACCTTTTCCCAAAAGAGAAGTGTTGCTAGCAGCGGAGCTATTAATTGTTGTTAATGTTTGTCATTGATGGAAGTGGAAACAGTCTTGAATTTGCATTCTAGACGATGTTAAGAAGTCTGTCATCCTTACCCTTGGCATTTATGGCCAACAATTTACAATGATGACCATATAATGGTACGCTATGATCAGTACAGTAAATTGCAAGTCAGTCTTCCACGATCAGTTACATGAAACTCACCTTACTAGAGTAGAGAAAAATAGAGATTGCTTAGGAAGTGACATCAAAGCAGCTGCAGCTACCCCATTTTCCATGTCTGAAATGTTGTGGAAGTTAACATGGTGGCACCAGCAGACGAATTCTGGACATTTCTTTTAACAATGTGCATCCTCCTCCGCCTTCGACTACAGAGTGTATGTCATGCTTTACCATCGCTGATGCGCAAGGTATATGCAGTTGCAGGAGGGGTTTTTTTCTATAGTCTACAGATAGCCGGTCACTTGGAATCAGGGGCGGGTGTCGGTTATGGACAAGGACTCAGGTATCGGACATTGTCAAATCTATAGTTTTTAGGAGACGGGCACCGTTAATTTTTAATTATGGGCTGCTGTGTATGAATGAAGTAATTTAATTTAGGAGCTGTCAAACTGTAGCGGGAGACGTGCTTTAAGTTCATGACAGGCTTCATTGTCGAACGCATAGCAGGGGCCATATTTTTCAACAAAATAAAGTTACACTACTAGTGTGTGCGTGTAAAGAAACATTGCAGGATTTTATTCGTGAGAGAGGAAAAGGAAGAATATACATGTTTTAACTTGAAAGTAGGAGGAAGGGATCATCACTTAACCTTAAAAATTACTAACGAAACAATTTTGAGACTCGTTTCGTGTACGAGAAAGAATAACATGAAAAGAGAGAATGAAACATGAAAATGAGAAATATTTTAGTTTTATTTATTTATTTATTTTGATATAATTAGTTTAGTTTTCAATCGAAAAAATATTTTAGTTTTTCTTCTTTTCTTAAAAGCAATGCGTTATTGATTTTGCATCTATGTCACTTAAAATTAAATAGGGAGATAAAAAGTCTGCTACGAATTTAAGTAGTTTTGATAATGGAAAACTGAATCAATTAGATCATCATATTTTGCTTAAATTTCTTAAGTAAGTCACCTTCTCTGTTGCATAACATATAAAATTTTCCTCCTTATAGTATCGTCTACGAGAACATCTCCGAAACGGCAAAATCTGGAGATCGCCAGAATGCCATAACCACTGTAATTTCAACCTCCAATAGTATTTCGACCAACAGATTGGCATAATTCCGAAGGTCTTGAAAACACCAATGAACATCCGAGATTATCAATTCTATCCAACGTGACAGGACTGTTTAATCATTTTATGCCAAAGCACAGCAACCCAAAACATTAATTCGGGAAGTTAAGTGCCCGAGGAGTTCATCACAGAAGACGGGGCATAATTCATTTATTAAAATCTATAAACCGACGGGGCATAATTCATTTATTAAAATCTACCAACCACTTGCTGCCTTTTTTTTTTATTTTATTTATGTAGGGTGTCCGGGTTAGCTTGCGCGCACCACGACTAATCCTCACGGTCCACTGAATACCCTGCAAATCCAGTAGGCATATAAAGCACCACGGGAGTGACAGACGTGCACGCTAGGGCTCGAACCCAGGTGCAATGAAAGGAGACAAGCCCCTTTTACCGCTAAACCAAGCACTGATTTACTTGCTGCCTTTTACTTTCCCAGGTGGTTTTATTCCTTTGGGCTCTAGGCTTCTACGCCAGCAAGTTTTCGTCCCTGAACAGGAACTTTAATGGGCGCTTCTTCCTAACACGGGGTCAATATCAGCTCTTGGCGCATCAATTACTTTTGCAAAAGCAAGAGGTGATGAGCTGATTTCCACGCTTACTTAGATTTGAAGGACTCTTTGTTTCCCTTAGCTATTAACAAGAGCTAACGGAGGAGTGTAAATCATTATTTCCCTCCTTACATGTTATTGTTCTTTGGAATAATAACATTTTTTTTAACTTTTTGATTATATATATATATAGTATTGAATTTATTAAAAATTTAACTTTGTTATTTATTTACTTTACTCTACACGAGATTATCATAATTTAAAAAAATATCTTAATATTATGTTAGTATTTAGTTTTACAATTGTATGTTTTTTCTATTATATTATTAAATAAAAAACATTTATTATATTGTTAAATAAAATATGATTTTTAAAATATAATTATTATAAATTAAATTTTATAATTTATTTTTTATAAAATTATTACGATATTAAAAAAACACACTAGCAATCGGAATGATGCTCTTAATTAATTAATCTAAGTTAATTAACTAGTTTTCATAATTAATTAATTATGTATGATACCTTCTCTCAAGTTATTTAGTTAATTTATTAGAAGAATTATAATTTAAATTTTATAGACATATTGGTATGAATAATTATGTCTTTAAATTTTATTGATAAATTGGTATGAAAGACTGTTATTTTATTTATAAATATTAGTTTGTACTGATATAAATCAATTAGAAAAAAATATTCTTCTCTTTTTATTTGTTTCTACAAATTCTTTATTTACATTTATTATAAATAAGAAAAAATTTCTAAGAAACTTATAAAAGTTATTACATATAAGTTTAATATTTTGCTATATCTTGAAGATATGTAATTTTAATTTCATAACAAATATAAAAAAAATAATTAATACATTAAAGATAATAATCCTCTTATCTTAAATTTTTTTTTCCTGTTATACCCACTAAAACAAAAATTTAACAAATTAAATTTAATGACAGTGTCTTTGTTTTTTCCATCATGATACTATGTTTTTACATGTAAAAACCTTTTGATCTCACTGTAGCGTGAGGATGGGAATTATCCACTGCAGTACTATCTAAGCAGTACTCCACTCTCTTCCATCGCCAAGCAACCAGCAAATAAAAAGCAAAGAAATACAGGGACCATTTCAATTTTTGGTGCCAACTTTATTTTTGTGTTTTAAAAATAATTAAAATTACAACAATTTTTCAGTTTTTATTTTACATTAATTATATTTTAATATTATTTTGATGCACTGATATTAAAAAATAAAAAATATTATTTTAATATATTTAAAAATAAAAAATATTTTAAAAGAAACACGCATAAAAAAAAGTGATGCGCTGGCTTCCATTCTTTAAAAACAAAAAAACAAAGGACTCTCCGTTTCCCACGATGCAGTACTATATAAGCAGTCCTCCACTCTCTTGTATTCTCAAGGTCAGAACCTGATTCTGGGAAGACAGTGAAAGCTCCTGGAAGGGATTATCGCATTCTCAGGAAAGACTTTGAAGAAGACCCAAAAACCTATTTCAAAGACCTGCGCAAGTAGAAAGCAGGAATGTTTAGAGGATAGGAAGCTGCAATGTTCTTACCTATCTCGATGAGTGTTTTATTATTAGCAACAGAACTTCGATGATGCTGTAAACAGGAATTTCCAGTGACTTTATTATATAACAGCAAACGATGCTTTTATCACTTGCTTGTAACTCTACGTCTAATTGTTGCACCAAAAAAAGAAAAAAACTCTACATATGATTTCTAAATTCGGGTGTTTTCAGGAAGAATCCCGGGGTTAATCCTCATTATTAATAATTAATAACGATAACAATTAGTCATCTCTCTAGAGACTCACTTTCAATTTAAATTTAACTTGTATAATTTTGCCTCTTTCCCCTTTAATTCTTGTTTTTCTCTCATGTATTGGAAAGGCTTGGGATGTAGCCTATTCATAGGCTGAACATCCCAGCCTCTCCTCGTTAACAAACGGGAAAAATGAGAATGGGGCCATGAAAGTTGCTTTAAGAAAATGTTGGCCAGTTTCGGTGTAAATTACGATTGTTAAAATCATGATTTTATTTAAAATCATACGATTATATGAGTTAATATAAGCTTCATATGCCATCGCATTCAAAAAACTCAAAAATAAATGAAGTCAAGTTAAAATCAAATAAAATCATTAAAATTAGGGGAATTCGTATAAAATCACGATTTCACCATCAATTTTACGATTTCTGATTTCTGGATAATCTAGCATCTTCGCTTAGAGAACGTGAATGGGAATAAGAACAAACCAATCATGATTAAATGTGTGCGTGTTTGCCTGTCTCTGTACTTGATTATGCAGCAAAAGATGTTTTTCTCACAGCATTATGTTTTTACTTGCCACCTGCCTTCTTTTATTTTGATAATATAGCATTTACTTTTGTAATGGGGTATTTTTTTAATTGGTGACTTTTCTTCCTTGAAGTGTTAACAATATTATTCGATGATTAATATAATTTGATAATGCGATGTAAGCCAAGTTAATAAGTATTTGATTAAAAAATATTTTTTATTTAAATAAAGAATTTGAATTAAAATTTCACTTTGACCAAAATTAGAGCCATAGTAATTTATAGTATTTTATTTTCAAAAATATATTTTATTGTTTATTATTTTCAATGTTGAAATATTTGATAAAAATATTATAAAATTGAATTATTTATTTAAATACTCGAATTATATATTAATTTTTATTTAAAGTACGAATTTTTACGGGGTCAGTATCATCTTTCGGCGCCGACCATTAGTTTTGCAAAAGCAAGAGGTGACGAGCTGATTGTTCTTTGGAATAACTACTCTCTTTTTTTAACCTTTACCTTTACCTTTTCGTTTTGTTTTTCTATATATTCTATATTGAATTAATTCATTGAAAATTTAACTTCGTTATACTTTACTTTACCGAAAGTTATCATGATTTTAAAAAAATATTCTAATGCAAGGTTGATACTTAATTTTATAATTATTTATTTTTTAAAATAAAAAATAATTTATTATATTGTGATATAAAAAATAGACTTCAAAAATATAATTATTATAAATTATATTTTATAATTTATTTTAATTTATTTTTTATGAAATTACTACAATGTTAAAAAAACACCAACATCGAGATGATGCTATTTTTTAGCATATATTTTTTACCATATTATTAAATAAAAAAATAATTTTTATATAATTAAATTTAATTAAATTTTATATAATTTAATTTAAAATTTGAGCTATGTAAAAAATATGCTTAGCAGGTTTCAAGTTCTATTATAGGGTAACTTTTTTATTAGACAGATAAATAAAAAGAACTTTATTT